GGACCCAGGCTGGACTCGAACCTGCCATCTTAGGTGTATGTGGCTGGTGCCTTAGCCACTTGAACCACAGGCGCTGAGCCGAGTTGCGGCTCCTTATAGAGTCTAGTTATTAATCTCTTGTCAGATGGTTAGTGTGCAAATATTTCTCCCATTCTGTAGGTTGTTTCTTTGTTGTTTCCTTGCTGTGTAGAATCTGGTTAGCTCAATGTGATCCCATTTGTCTGATTTTACTTGGCTTGCCTGTGCTTCAGGGGTATTACCCAGAAGTTATTGCCCAGGCCCATGTCCTAAAGCATTTCCCTGATGTTTTCTTTCGGCAGTTTCATAGTTTCAGGTCCTCTATTTAAGTCTTTAATCCATTTTGATTTAATTTTTACATATGATGAGAGATAAGGATCTAGGTTCATTCTTCTGCATATGGATATCCAGTTTTCCCAGCACCCTTTATTCAAGACACTGTCCTTTCCTCCCTTTATGTTTGTGGCACCTTTGTCAAGGGTAAGATCACTGTAGATGTGTGGATTGATTTCCGGGTTCTCCATTCTCTTCCTTTGTTCTATTTGTCTGTTTTTTATGCTAGTACCATGCTATTTTGGTTACTGTAGCCCTGTAGTATACTTTGAAGTCAGGTAATCCGATTCATCCAGTTTTGTTCTTTTTGCTCATGATGGCTTTGGCTGGCCTGGGTCTTTTGTAGCTCCATATAAATTTTAGGATAACTTTTTTCTGTTTCTGTGAAGAATGTCATTGGTATTTTGATGGTGATTGCATTGAGCCTGGAGATTGCTTTGTATACTATAGACATTTTAGCAATATTGGGTCTTCATTTTGAGATCTGTTTTTTTGTGCCCTCTTCAGTTTCTTTTATCATTGTTTTATAGTTTTCATTTGAGCGATCTTTCACTTCTTTGGTTTATTCCCAGGTATTTTATTTTCACATTTTTGTAACAACACTGCATTTATCTAGTGATTTACAGTATACAAAGCTCTTTTACTTCCTTTATTTCATTTGACCCTGGAACAGTCATCTCCTGAAGCTTCAGTTTGCTTAGATCTGACTGTTTGCTGTATCAGACATGCAGCACATATGTCTGATATGTAGTTAAGTATCTATTGTTATTGGTATATTAGGAATTTGAGGCTGATCAGAACTTGTTCAAGGTCACAAAGGTTAAGATAGTGGCAGACTCAGATACAATGTATAGATTTTATGACCCTTGCCTATTCTTATAACTAGAGTGTAATGAAATAACCTTCGACAGCACACAATGGGGAGCATCTTAATTTCCTTGCGTGACTTACCCCAAAGCAGCCTTTGGAATTACTCTATCAGAGAGCTGTTTATCAAATTTAAGCAAAATATGCCTATTGGCTAAAACCAAAATGCAAATGTAGATACTGTTTTTTATAGCTTTCATTGTTTACTAATATCTATATTTTACACTTGAAACTTTTCAGCAGACAATCTGAGCAGGCTCACTCCTACCCTTATGAAATTCTGTGGAGATGGCTCTCATTTTAATTACTTTTTAAAATACTGCTTTTGAGTCTAGTTTTATGCTATAGCAAGTGTCAGTCTGGGGCCCTTGAATTAAGGTAGCACACATCAGAAGTGAGAACTGAAACATAAAGAGAATGACTGGGCTGAAGCAAACAATGACAGCCACACCCATCTATTTTTGTGGTTTTTGTAGAATTTTGCTGACGAAGAATCTGAAGCCGTAAAAGGTGAACTGGAGATGAAATTATTCAGTGAAACCGTTTCAGCAGGTATTCTCAATTGCATTTTTATATTTTAACTTTATTGAGATTTTCTTCTTACCTAAAGAAATGCAAAGGAATTGTAAAAGAAAATTCAGATGTTGCAGAAATACATTTAAAGAGAACAGTCTTCACAGTACCTTTCCTGAGATAACCAGTGTTAACAGTTGTCTTTTATTTACTGTCCCTTTTTCTCTATTTTTAATAGACCATGGAATCATATCGCATGATTTTCTGTCAAAAATTACTTATTTCCAGCTAATAATATGTTATATACATAGAACACAATATTCTACATAATGAATAATATTCAACACTATTCTAAGTGAGAACATTGATCACCTTGCTTCTTTAAGAAGCTGAATAATTCCACCCAATAATGGAACATTATTGATAAACAATTGATAAAGAAGTTATGTCCAATTTTTTATTATTACACACAATAATGTTGTAATGAACATTTACAATCATACATACACAAGTGAAAATTTCTCAACATTTGCGAGTATTCACAAGTTTTTGTATTCAATCTTATTCTGGCAAATAGCAATTGGATATAGTTTAGAAATGTCAAAGTGATATGGCGGTCTAATTTGTCAGTCTTACTTTGAGATCTCTGAGGTCGGACTAAGTTTGTGAACTCATCCTAGAAAATGTGCTACCTACCTCATTGCTGAATATCATTTGGAAGGCCCCCCTGGGGAAGCTATGCACTGATTCCAGTGCCTCATCCACCCATCAAAAAAATGTTTCTAGGATTAATTTACGAATTTAATTGTTAGACCTTGTATGACAGCTCTGATGGCCATTCCAGAAAAAGAGTTCCAAAATCACTTTGAGGGTGTGGACCAGGTACTGGCATTGGTACTTGTCTCCCAAGGGAGGACTTCAAAGTAGGGATATTGAGCGACGAGGTAGGTAGCACTTTTTCTAGGTGAGTTCCGGAACTTAATTGTCCAACATTGTATACATCTTCTCCATTAACTTTATCATTGCGCTTCTTCTAGTAACTTCTAAGGAATTTATTTTCCATGTATTTCTTAGCATATTTTCATAACACTCCTCTTTCTACTTCTTCACTTTTTCTTTTTTTCTTTTTTCTACCTGGTGACCCCCCAAATAATACATAATTATTTGAATTTGGAAACTTTCTTTTTGTTTCTTTCTTTTTTAGGTAAATTACTAACTAAATGTATTTAAAATTAAAGATAGCAATGTATTGAATGCACACGGGGCAAAGAAAGGCAATTTCTTAACTGGAATTTGTCCGGTTATTTAATTTTTAGTGCTTGATCTCCATGGGTTAAATTCGGTATTATCCCAGTGTCCTTGCTTTTGTGGGGGAGGAAAGTTGTAATGATAAATAATAATACTAACAGTCCTTGAGTTTTACTATGTGTCTGGCACCAGTTTTAAGAATTTTACATGTGTTCCCTTACTCCTCTCCCAAATTCTATAAGGTAGCTACTACTATTAGATCTATTTTGTAGATGAAACTGAGAATAGAAAAATTAATTAGCACATCTTGCCCAAGGTCACACAGCTAATAAAGGGTAAAACCTGTAAGTGGTCTGACTACCTTGTTATCCACCATACAACATTGAAAGAATTTTGGTAAGGCTGGGAATTGTCCCTATGATACAGGACTTCAGATATTCCTTCTGATTATACACTGAAAATTAGGAAATCATAGTTTCCTAACAGTGGAAATTATCAATCCAATTTCTTCACTGTTAAGCCGTCTTTCCCATTTTTATCTGAGCTGAGCCTACTTTTATTGAAAAAAAAATTAGCTTTAATTTAATATATGGGCCAAAATTTATTTTTTCACCATATAACTTTTTCTAGATTTTAAGCCTCATATGGTCCAATTTTAAGAAATTACTCAATTATCAAATTTGGGGTTAAACCATGATTTATATCTTTTATAAAATATATTTTTGGGCTCGGTGCCTATAGCTCAACCGGCTAAGGCGCCAGCCACGTACACCTAAGGTGGCGGGTTCGAATCCCCAGCCC